TCACTTTCTGTCCTACCTTTTAAAAAAATAGCTCTATTAGTTGATATAATATGTCTTTAGTTTTAATGTAATAGAGATTTTCTCAAAAAATTATTTGTTGTAGAGTTCTATTCTTTTTTAAAACATGTGCTTTACTATATATACTCGCGAGGAATTTGTCCGCTATGATCATCTCTAAATTTAGGAAAAATACTACCAAATTTAGGCTAGCTCTTGACTATCGTATCTAAATTTGGCAGTAAGAAAACTAAAATCACGTGAAGTCCTATTTTTATTACAAAATTTTGAAATTTGGTCGCATGGCGCAGCAATAGGAGGTCTTTAGATCGAGCCAACCATATATGAAAAATTTTTAAGTGAACTGCGACTTTGTCACGTGAATATTTATTAAATCATGAAAATAATCGGTAAATTGCAGTCTGGATATATAATTGCCGAAATTTCAAATAACATAGTAAAGTTACCAACTTTAAACCATTATAACTTTTTCTTCTACTAAATAACACAAAAACAGCTTTTATTACATTATTTTTCATGTCTAGAAGATTGCAAAATAGAGAGTTTTTGGTAAAATAGCCTGTATTTAGTAAAGTATCAATCAGCTTTAAAGATTGGCAACATTTTGTGATGTCTTTAGATAATTAGCACTATATCCATTGCAAATTCCCCGTTTTTTTATTAAACAAATAGGGTCTAATATTTTCACCAATTATAATTTATATATTATAGATCAATATTATATAAAAAGCTCAATTTTGGTCGGATGACCACAGAGGTGGTTTTTCACCAGATTTAAGGCCATGCGAGATTGTTCCAATGTCTCACCATTATATTTAGTCATGGATCTTTCATGTTCAAATATTTTTTCAAGAAATTCCTCTTATTCCTGGTTATACATAGGATGGTAATTTTTTGCCAAAAACATAATACGTAATAAGTAATTACGAAATTAATTACGCGCGACGAAATTATTCATTATAGAAAAAATTAATTATGGGTGATGTAAAATCCATAAATTTTATATTTTATATCTAAAAAATAAAATTTTCTTTTTACACTTTATAAAGTATTAAATAAAAGTACTAACATAAAATTTTAAAGTTTTTCAATTTTTGTTAAACCATAAACAATATTTTGTCTTTGAAGTAAAAAAAAAACCATTTTTAATGAAAGATACAATTTGTTATTTTATTTATAATATTTTATTATCCTAAAATGATGTTCTTTAAATATAAAAAAAATACACATTGATAGGACGGAAAAGCTGTTAGGTCACAAGGAAGCAATAATATTGGCCGAACTTTCTGATAGTTTAATTTTAATTTTTTTAAAAATCATTACAAAAATAGGCCACTTTTGGTTAAATAAAAAAACATCAAGTTAATTAATTAATATTTCAGAGCCTTGCTAATAAGTAGAGGCAGAAATATTTATTTATTATCATCACTTGTAATAATAATTTCATGCATAATAATAAATAAATAAATTCTTTGTTTCATTTATAAAAACACTTTGTAATCAGAAATTAAACAGTAGGGTTTAATTGTCCATTTGGTTATCAAATTGGTATAGAACTCTGAGGTTTGTTTTATTGGCTTTGGTATAAAGCCAAGGTTTGACCAGTGTAGTGTTAACACGGTTGTATAGAAAATTTCAGTTTCTTTGATCTCAAATAGCATTTATCTCTGTACAAGTCACACCCATTATAATGACAATCTTGTTATAACGACATTTTTTAAAAAACCAAATTTATAAATTTTTTTTATAATAGAATTTATTCCGTTATAATGATACTCGTTATAATACTAACGACATATCAGTATAATGGAAGATCATTCTGAATTCTAGTAACACTTCCGTATAATGCTGGTCAATTTTGACCCCAGCGTAAGTTTTAATTTCTTGATAGAATAAATGATTAAATTATTATTATAATAATTCTCGCATGACTTTTATATGAACTCTCGTTATAATGACAATCTCGTTATACTGACATTTTTTGCTTGCACGGGGAGTGTCATTATGATTTTTCAAATAATCAATTCGTAATTAATTTCGTAACATCAAATGATTAAGGTCTCTTATTAAAATTACTTGACAAGAAAAAATGGATGTGATTATGAATTATAACTGATAGAGGTAATAAAATATGAATGTAGTTCACAAGTGCGAATGCTCTCTTACTTCTAATTATAAAAAATGAACAATAAAGATGGGTTTTTTTACATCAGATATTTTATCACAAATAATCATTTTGCTAATGACGAATAAAAAAATTATTAAATCACACATTAGTGATAACCCTTCACATAATGAAATATCACGTGAGACCGACTTATCGTGATTTCATTTAATTATACTTGGGCTAAATGATTGACCGACTTGGCACTTATCGCGACTTTATATATATAGATCGACCGACTTATCGAATTTTTTTAAATATATAATAAAAAAAAAGGGGCGAAACTTTTTGGCCGAGTTAGGCCAAAACCAACTTTACATATGTACGTTTTAAAGAGGGAAAATGGTAATTAATTACGATAATTACGAATTTTACGTATTTACTAATTACCATCATGTACAATATATCACGAAAATTTTTTATTTGATTATCCAAATTTGACAATTACTAGAGATTTTAATTTTGAAAGAAAAATAAACTTTATTAATATTATTCACATCGATATGTAATGTAGTTTTTAATTGAACTATTATTACTAGAAAAAGAAAAGGAAGGAGAGGAGAGTATGGTAGAGACAAGTTTATTAATAGTTTGATTTATTATTATAGTTGAAGGTATGTGCTTCAATTATTGTGGATGAGAATGTTGGTGCTGTTGAAGCTTAATTCGTGATACGTGAAACAACTGCGCAATTTTCGCAGATCACTGAAATTTTCCGGAACTCATATATACTTCATTCCTAAAAAACTACTATTTATACGAATTTATAACCCAAAATTTTAATATACAAATTTTCAAAGGGACTTTCTTATAAAATATTTTATCATTATATGGAAGGACCACTGGATTCTTGCCTAAAATTGCTATATAAAACTTAAGATTCAAGTATAATATTTAATTATTTATTCAAGAAAAAAAATATAAATAGGCGTTTGTATTTAGTTTTATTCAAAAAAAAAGAAATATAAATAGATGTTTGGTTACTTTGAAAAGTTTAAATTTTAAATTTTAATGTCGCGCGTAATCATGCTTAAACACGTGAGGGACGGTCATATTCCAAAAATTCTAAAAATTATATTGTAATTGTAATTGTTTATTATCGCCACAAAATTATACTAATGATCGGCAAAATTTTGCAGTTGTCTCACGGAGCACGAATTAATAACAAACACAGTCAGTTAGTTGTTGACAATTACGAACATCCAGGTAAGATTAGACATACTGTAAGTGTGATTTGTATATTTAGTTAAGGCATTATTAACTTTGATACACCTTGCGTTATCACTTGATTGGTATTAGTTGAGGGATAGTTTGCTAGAGCAGTATTTTGAGAATTGCATCCAAGCCTTAGCCTTAATAAATGAGTGTTGAAGACATATTTATAATCATCATGATTGAAGCTTCCTTGATAGTAGTAAGTCATGGTCTATAAATAAATCTGATTGTAATATTTTTAATAAAATGAAGAACGAGCTAAATAAAATCAAGTAAAAAAAAAAAAGAATAATCATAATCTTTATTATGGGAGGAAAAAATTTAATTCTAAAATTACAAAAAATACTCGAATAGTTAATCAATAAATAATTTTTAACTAGTTAATTAATCAAGGGACCAAAACAGTTCTAACAACATCATCAACTGCTTGTGCAAAATAGTCAACATTTGATGAATTTAATCCTGCCATTGAAATACGTCCATTATCAACCAAATAAATATGATATTTTTCTTTAAGCACTTTAACATGTTGTGCTATGTTTTTACATAAGAATTAATCAATTAATCATTTAATGAAATTCTTTTTAATGACATGTATTTATTCATTTGTTTATTACCTTTGAGCCCAGTATAAGAAAACATTCCAATTTGATCTGTTATATGATTCCAAGTTCCTGGGGTATTTAGCTCAATAAGTTTTTCATAAAGACGTTTGCGCATCTCTTGTATACGATAACTCATAGTTTTAAGGTTTTCTGTCCTATTTAACAAATGAAACAATTATTATCACTACTATTGTGATATTATTAATTATTAATATTATGATAATTAAAATAAAGAACACCTACCACTCAGTATAAAGAGCTGGATCATTTAACACAGTGTTAACAATACGAGCTCCATGAATTGGCGGATTAGAAATTTCAGCACGTTGAAGTTTTGCAAGTTGACTTTCTACTCTTGCAGCTGCATCAGCATTCTTAAGAACAAATGTTAAACATCCAGCACGTTGCCCTAAAATCAAATATAAAATCAAATAATTTGATGGATGATATTAATTTTATTAATTTAAAAAATTTATACACTCAAAAAAAAAAACAACAAATACCATATAAACCAAAATTTTTTGCAAAAGATTGACAAATTAATAATTCGAACCCGCGTTCAATAAAATAACGAACAGCCCAAGCATCTTTATCTAAATCACCACTTGCAAAACCTTGATATGCACAATCAAAAAATGGGAAATGACCTTTAGACTATAAATGTGAAATAAGGATATAAAAAGTACTTGTGTAAGTTTCATACGTAATAATAATAATAATAATGATGATGATGGTGATGATATTTTTATCCCCCCAAAACATTTTTGAATCAATATCAACATACTTCCATAACATCAGCAATCAATATCCATTGTTCTTGAGTAGGATCTACGCCAGTTGGATTATGAGCACATGCATGTAATAAAATAATAGATCCATCTTGTGCTGACTATTATAACAAAGTTACAAGTTAATATATAATATAAGTTATTATTTATTATAAATATGTGTATATATTCATGTATGTATGTAAGTACCTTGAGGGATTGTAATAATCCATCAATATCCAATCCAATTGTTGAAGGATTATAATAAACATAATCCCCAACATCTAATCCAATTGTATTGAAAATAGGTTTATGATTTGCTGAATAATAATAATAATGACAATAGTATAGTTCATAAGAATAAATATAACAATCAATTAATAACGTAAAATAATATAGAATATAATTATAATACCCCATGTAGGATTAGACACATAGATTGTAGAAGCTTTTTTATAGAATCTAGATAAGAATAATCCACCCAAGTGGTTTGCACCTGTTCCTGATATTGTCTGTACACTTACAATCTACCATAACAAAAATAAAAAATTTAAATTTTCGCGTCATAAATAATAATAAAAAATCAACAATTAATTACTCTATTTTCTTTAATGGCTGGACTGTTTTCACCAAGAATCAATCTAACGGCTGCTTCTTTAAACGGTTTAAGTCCAGTAATGGGAAGATATTCATGATTTAATGTGGAATTATTTATAATAATTTGTTCGGCCTGAAAAAAATAGATATATAAGAATTATTATTTTTTGAATTAATTTTTAATCGATTAATTGATTCTTCTCAATTCTTATGCTCTGATACCTTTTTTACAACTGGTAAAATCCAAGGTTTTCCATTGTCATCACGATATGCACCAACACCCAAGTTTACTTTTTGAGTATCAGTATCTGCGTTATATGAAGCAGTAAGATTGAAAATAACATCTGGAGGTGCAAGTGGAACCTCTTGAAAAATAGATTTTGTCGCTATAATAAAGATTTTTATTATTATTGATTTATTAGGGAAGGAAAATTTTTTTTCTTTTAATTTAAAAAAAAAACAAAAACTAACATGACATTGAATTTATCAAATGTTTTTTAAGTTGTTCTATACGTTGTTGAATAAACATCTATTTATATTTAATGTTTTGTGAGAAAAAAGATTATCATTCAATCAAATATATGCAGATCTAAATAATTAATGAAATAATTAATGAGTCATTCATTAATTAATATTAATTTATCGTGGGAAACGAATATATGAAGCACTCTGCGACAATTGATTAATAATCATTAATTCTACAGAGAAATTATTTACAAATCTTTGTATCGAGTCTTTTTTTTTTATTTTATGAAAATATACATTCTAAAAAAAAAAGGGAGGAAGAATCTAATTGTTGATTGCAGATTGTATATAGATTGATGATGGATGGACATAAATAGGTCATTTATTCTAATGAGGTTTCTTAGATTATTTTTTTAATACAAATGTTCATTAAAATAATCATCAAATTTTTTTAGTAATACTAATATTAATATTATTAGTATTGCATCAAGAATTTGTCGATGATGTTATTAGAGTTTCCTCATTGCCCTCATCGCTTCCACTATTACTACTACTATCATTAACTTTACTAATATCAACTTTGTCACCTTCTTTACTATCATCATCATCATCATAATCATCATCATAACCAAATCTTTCCACATAATTTACATCATTTTTCAACACTGATACTTCATCATCATTATCATCATCTTCATCTTCTTCTTCATTATCGTCCCTTTCTTTTTCACTTCTTTTATTTCCTCCTCTTTCACTACTTTCTTTATTGGCATCATTTTCACTTCTTCTTATACTTGAATGTCTTTTTGGTAAATTATCTACGCTGTGCGATAGTAAACTAAGTCTGTTGTAATTTCTTGGTTCTGATAATTGTGAAGAAGGTGTTGGTGTATTACGAAATATGATTCCACTTTCTAATGATTGAATTGTAAGTGATGATGAATTAATAAAATTACTATTATCATTTCCTCCGACTCCAATTCCAGCTCCAGCTCCAATGCCACCACCACTATCATTACCATAATTACTACTACTAACATTATCTGAAATATCATATTTAAGTAGATTTGGGCTTGCAACACAAACTACTGGGAATGCACCTTTGTTACCAGTATTTTGATTTGTTCCAACTGCCCACCCATCATCAAATATTTGGTTTACAATAATCGTATCATTAAGCATCAAATCTAATTCATCAGGAAGTCGTGAACTATAAGGAAACACCACTATGACAAGTTCACTTCCTATATCCGAGAATGGTGTTGATACACTGTTACTATCATCTTTCTGATGATGTACAGTAATTTCGATTGAAGGTGGTGATAGTGGTGTTGTTATTTGATTTTGGTTGTTATTGTCATATTGTTGTTGATGTGGTTGTTGTTGATGTATTTGTCGTTGTGTTTGTAAATTTATTTGTTGTTGTTGCAGCGGATATTGTGGATAATTGTTGTTAATATCAATCATTGCATCATGATTTTTATTATTATTATTAAAATAATAATAATTAAATTCATTACTATTAGTTGACAGCAAAGAAGATGTGCCGCCAGTTGATGGATTTGGTGTTATACTAGAATGTGAAAATCGGCTCATCATTTCCGATGACCCATCTCCGCTATTATAATTATTTAATATAGGTGCTTTAAAGTATGGAACAGAGAAAAATGAAGATCTTTTATTATGATTATTATTATCATTTGATCTGCCTGATCTTCTTCTTTTCATGCAAAATATTATTAAACATATCAATAATAATAATAAAGCAAATGAACCAATAATTATACCTATTATAACCTCTATTTGTATTTGAGATGATTTTAAGTGCGGCGGGTTTGGTTGTGAAGGTGGTGTTGTTATTTGAGGTGATTGCGAAGGTGGATCAGGTATTGTTGATGTACTTAATAAATTAGTCTTGGGACAATTTGTATTTGTATTTTGACAACATTGATTATTATTACCAGATGTGGTTATGTTACAAAAATTACAAAATGAATTTACATCTTGTTGAAATCCTAATTTTTTTTAAATAAAAAAAATAAGAATTAGAATTAATAATATCTATATCTCTTTTTCTCCCCACAACAAGAAATAATAATATAATAAAATTATGATGTTTCACTTACCACAATTAAGTTGCTCATTTAGTTCTCCAGATATACAACTTGGTGAAGTGTCAGTGTAATTTCCATCGGCACACCAATCAATTAGAAGACTTAATCTTTCAGATCTTGTAGGAGTATCGGATGTTGTTGGACATATAGTAGAATTTTTTGTAGATTCTATCAATGATGATAAATGACTATTACAAGTTTTATTGCATATTAATCTCCTTTCAATTGCTTTTTCTGATGGGCACATTCTGGAGGGTACACTTTCTACTAATCTAGCACATATCATTGTAGTAGTGTACCTAACGTACATACTTTTTGAATCGAAATTTGTACAATTTAATCCTTCTATGTAATAAGATTTAACATAATCATTATTAACATAGTCTCGCAGTAATAAATCAAACTCTTGTATTGAACTGGCTCCCAACAGCCAGTTATAATTTAAACCATCAGAGCCGTAATTGAACATTGCCGAGGAAATAGAATATTGTGAAAATGCTGGACATGTTGTTGATCCCTCCAGCGATAAACATGGTGGCATTTTTACGCCTTGTCCGTTTACTAATAATATACATGATGATAATAAATTTGATATTATTATTACTACAATTAAATATGCTGCTGTTGTTGTTGCTGTCAAATTTAATGGTGTTATTAGATTTTTTATTTTTTTATTAACATTATTATTATTATATGTAATTAATGACATTTTCTTAAATAAAAAAATTGATTGATTTTTATATATGCTATTTTGTTAAATATTTCTCTTTTTTTTAAATTGAAAAAAAAGCTGCGAAAATAATGAAAATAATGATGGGTGATGATGATGATGATGATGATGAATGTTAAAAAAACAATAATGTATAAATTTGTTTTTTACAAATTTTATATATAAAAAAAATTTATGTACAAACAGAATATTTTTACATTAGAAAAAAAAATTTATTTTTATATATAGTTTAATTTTAAAGTTTATTCTAAATGTTTTATTTTTTAAGAATTAAAAAAAAAATTATTAAATATTTTTGATATTTAATATTTTAATAATAACAATACTATAAAAGGTAAATAAATATTTAGTGATTAATATGTTTCAATAATAATTATTAGTGATAATTGTTTGTTAGAAGAGGAAAGATTTATATTATATAGCATATACGTTTATTTATTTATTTATATATAATACAATGTTTGCTCAACGCCACAATTGTACTATCGTGTAACGTGATTAGTGTTAGTGATTTCATATAATTGGCTTTTCTTTTTCTCTTCACACATTTGTCAGAATCTTTTCTTATTCTTATTAGCTATTCTTATATATTCTACCTTCTATTCTTATATATAATTTTTCTGCCTTTATTTATTATAGAGAATGTTTATAAAATGTTCATTATAAATAGAGAAATTAATTATAAAAAAATAAATTGGGGACAAAAGGGAAGTTCATTATAGAGAGATTTTACTTAGTGTTTATTATATGGGGATTCATTATAGAGAGTAAACTGTACATCCTGTTTTTTAGGCACAAGATACATTTGCAATTCTGAGATGTCTTCTTTGAAGTGGACCATTATCAATGTTTTTCACCCTTTCAAAGTCTTTTGGAAATTTTCCAATGGCCCACATTCTCCTTGTGCACTTAACTCATATCAAATTACTGGATTCAGAGATGGTGATGGCAAAACATTCATTCAAATCATAGATTATTTTCTTCCTCTTTGGCAAAAAAATGAAGGCAATGAATATTGTTGACAGTTTTTGTTAAAGTATATTTACAAAGACTACAATAGTTTTTGACATGGTAAATGCTAGGGCTTGAATCATAACAACTATATTTCTAGTCAGAAAGGTGATAAATTATGTCTGGAAAACTTTCTTTTGTTATGGGAATTGCTTTTTCTTGATCATTATAATCTCTTTTAATCTTGAGGAATGCATTTTCCATCAATTTTGAGAATTGTTGTAAGTTCTAACTTTTATTGGGGGGAAGTATCTAAAGGTTTGGGAAATATAATTCCCTTTCTTGGATCATGGTATCCAGATTTGAGCTCATAAGAAGTGCTTATGGTGACTAGTTTACCAATCAAACCTTCTCCCAAACAAGCAATAATTTTTTGGTAACAGAAAGTCAAGGAGTTTGTCATAAAATTCAGCATTAACATTGGTGTTGATTTTTCTTTATGGAATTTTTTTTTCAGTATTTTTTTTCTCACTATCTGATATGAATATTTATCTTTCTTAAGCATAATATTTTCCATGGAAATGCCTTCCCAGAAAACTCCACAAAAGTAATAATTTTTTCATGTATCCATCAATTTAAATTGTGTGCAAGACAGGTGATTATTTAATGATAAATATATGATATGTGATGACCCCATTCCATCTGTCTTTTTATTTATTACTACTACTATTATAAAAATGTTGTGTGACTAAATCTGCAAACTCTATGAATAAGTATATAAGTATATTGTGCTTGTACTAAGATTATAAATATCCACACCCTGATTTACCCATCAACTGTCTTTTTTTGCTACATGAGAACAATTAATTGCTATAAAATTTTACTCAAACCATTCATCTATATCAGATTAACTAATTGACCCTTCATATAGGCTGATTGGCCAAGTTTTCTGAAATAGTCATATCCAGCTTAAATAAAATGAACAATACTTCCACAAAGAACAAGCCAAACCTCTTAGGAACAGAAAACTTTCATACAAGAAAGCAGGATGTAGATGTAGGTTAAAAGAATATATAAAGAATAGCTAAAAAGTTAAAAAAAAAAGCCTTAGTAGCACTCTCTGTTTTATTTACTCCAGTTATCTTTATATGGAAGATTAGGTTCTATCACTATCACTATCACTATCACATTTACAATTATGGTATTGAGAAACTTCATAGCCACGGCACTTTGGAGTACAAAATTCTGGGCAAACAAAAATGAAGTACGCTGATAAAGAAGATCCATGACCTATACCAAATAAAATACCAAAAAAAATAGTTCTACTTGCGAATTGGTTCTCAATGTTGAATTAGTTAATGTATTGCAGAAATCGCTGGCTATTTGCGGATTTGAACAAAAAAAGTCTCCCACTAATTTATTAATAAATAATAAATAAAACTTGACAAGAAAGAAACCTGATGTAATATATTTGTATAACCCAATCATATGTACAAGTATGAAAAATCTGTGGAGAATTATTTATTGTACAAGAAGAGATGCAATTTTAATTTGGAATGCATTGTATGTGCGTTTGTAGATCAAATTATTTTAATTATTTTGATTCATTCAAACCCAAAGAATTCTAATAAAAAATATGGTATGATTGTATATAAACAATCATTTAATTTCGCCTTATTCTTATTTTAGTAAAATGTCGAAGCCACATTTTTAATCTTGATTGGTTCATCAAAATATTTTTGTTTTCCTGACTAATTGTGGCTTGTTATTTTTGTTATTGCAAAGTGATCATTTGACGTCACAAAAAGTTTATGGGTCGAACCATATTGGGAACTCGTAGTTTCTTGTCAACTATTTAGACAATATAAATAAATGACGAGTTTACATGTGCGTTACCAAATGTAATTTTTCGCATAGTTCTTGTTTACTAATACAAGTTTTAAGTCAATACAACAATTTGCTGTTATAATACTAAGCAATTAGCAGAATGCGATTATAATATTTTTAATATAACCACATACTAAGCAATTAGCAAAATGCAGAAAATATATTATAAAAATAGAGTTGAACCTAATGAAGATTGTTAGTATATTAATAAATAATGGTGGTAGGTTAAAAAATTTATCATGAAGAAAATAACAATGAAAACTTAAGATAATGAATGAATAAATAAATGAAAATGAAAGATAAATCTTTTTTATTAATCAATCCGTAAATAAATATGTAGAGGGAGTAAACATAGATGATTTTGTTAATCCCTTTTGTTCTCGTTTAGATAGATCATTGATGTAAATGGTCTAATGACAGGTTGGATGGGGAAAAAGGAAAGGATCGATTATTATTGTTGTACGAATATAATGAATAAATTATAAATAATAAAAAATAATAAATAAAAAACTTTAAACTTGCCCTTCATATTGAATTGCAACCAAGTAAACAACAAAAGTCAAAGCTGATAAAAGAATCCCAGCTGGACTTGCATACCTAATTATTACATATATATAATAAATTTTTTAGTAAATAACATTTATTCGTCTATTTCCATGATTTATTTCCATAAATGTTTACCATAAAGCAGTTCCTAAAAAACTCATTGTAGAACCATAATACATTGGATGTTCAAGAACGTTGAAAGGAAATGAAGTGACTCTTTCATTCATCAATATGCCAAAATAATCACCTTTTTATCCAAAATAAAATAATCATCTAATCAATAAACCATAATAATAACAATAATAATAATCATACAACAATAACGATGATGATGATGATGATGGTGATAGTAATCAATTACCAAGAAATGTTCCAGTAATTCCTAACATATAAGTCGATGATATTACAAAAAGCATTCCAGAACCAAATAATATTGCTCCCGATAATTTTACTTGATAGTTGTTAAGTTCTGGTAAAGTTGGTTGATGTTCAATTGCCCGATGATATCTAATAAATGTATTCATGTCATTAAGATGATTATTAGAAAAAAAAAAGAAAAATTAATAAACTTACAAATAATCTCTTAAAAGACCAAGCGAGAAAATAGTAGTGGCCAATCTATAACAACCAATATAAGGATTCCCACCCGCTGCACGAGTTATAAAATGTGTTTTATATTCTATTTTATATTTCCAAAAAATTTATATAATTTTAAAATTATACTTATTTATTAACCAACATATACGATAAACAATCAATTAATACCTTTTCTTGCCATCGAGTTCCAAAAAATGGGATTAAATAAAATTGAAGCAAAAGAAATCCAAAAACTTGTTTGACTAAAATCTATCAATTCTAAAATTTTTTCTGTCATCTTTTTCCAATTGAATCGATTTGAAAAGAGAGAATTAAATTTTTTTGTTAATCTCGATTAGTATAGTAGTGGTTCATACCCCCCACACGTATTGCACAGGTAATAGAAAGATCAAAAGAAATCATAACAAATAATAAATTTTATTATTATTTATAAAGAAAATTTTTTTCATGATGATAATCCTTTCCAAGTAGAGCAATTAAACACCTAAAGTAATTTATGATTATAAATTTTGTTTATTAATAACGATGCTTTTAAAAAAAATTATTTAATTATAAATAATTATTGTGGAAAAGGTAAATTCCAAGTGGCAAAGGTGACAAAGAAAATAGTATTTTCAAAGAAAAGCTTTGAGAATGATCATTTTGCTGAAATTCTTTATGACTCAGAAGTGATCCATTACTGAATCCTTTTGATGAATTTGATATATTGGAAAAAGGGCAGAAAATCCATTCTTTCAACATAATATATTCAAGTATAAAACCCCAAGTGTTCAACCATCATTAAACACTATTGATAAAATTATAAAATTATGGAAATGATCGAATCTTTAAAAACAAACCAGGATCTAGAAAAAATCCCCACGGTAGTTTAAATGATAAATCATTCTTAGCAGCCTTTTCTTCTGGAACGAAATCTAATCAACCATCGCCTATTAAAGAGGCAATAATTTAGAAAAAATGAATATCACAAGCAAGAACCATAATCATTGAATCTGATTATTAAAAATGGCCAAAAAAAATAATTGATCTTAGTTTTAATCACTGGAATCACTGAAGGAGCATCTACATTGATTAGAACAAGGAAAATATTTATGGAATATTTTATCATCTTCTCATATTTACTCATCAAGTTGCATATATATGGAAAAAGAAGGGCATTCAAGTTGGAACTTTAAATAATATATTATTTTTTATTAATATCTTGGCTTTGGTTTTTTCTTTAAAAAAAAAAATTTCATGTATATACATATATATGTAATCATTTTAATCATTTTGATTTCATTAATAATAATTAATAAAAATTTGATATTGCAAAAAAAAATATATGCTATATCTATTAATCAACAAATTATCATTATTGATTATAAAGGCCAATTTTAAACCCTTAACAACATCCTTACTTCCGTATTTTTTTTCTTACATAAACAGCAATGTAAAATATATCATAACAAAGAATCTTCAATGTCATAAACTCTTCTGTATTATCTATTATACTACACTATATATTTGTCTCCAGCAAAACTCACAAGAACTGAAATATTTGCATATTCATTAAAAAAATTTATTGAATAATGTTATTTGGTGGTTTTATTCATTATTAATGGAAATTGATGATGATTTTGAAAATTCTAAGGTGAACTTGTAGTATCCACAAGAATATATACATAATTGCAAGTTGTAAAAAGGTAATGAATGAATTGACTTCTTTTGTATTTGAAAAATTGAAATCCTAATCTTAAAAGCAAATTTTACAAATAATAGTTAAAAACCTTTTTCTTTTCAAAAGTCCAATTATCTAAATTTATATAATTGTTTTATTTTAAATATAATTATTAGTATTAATAATATTCTATAAATTAATAAAAAATTTTTTTAATAAGGTTTGTATCTAAGTTCATTGGAGACCTTGGAGGTTGATGAATGTGTTGAAGATGATATTGATTTTATTGTTGTTGATTCTTTTGATATATTTGTAGACAAGGGTTTAGATGACAATGATGATGGTGATGATGATGACGATTGTAATTTTTGTTGTTGTAACTGTCTCTGTTGAGGTAAAGATTGTTGTTTCATTTGTGCTAATTTCTTCTCTAATGCAATTATTTTTGCATCCGTACTTTTATCATATATTTTTAGCAAAATTATTCAAGTTTAATAACAAATAAATAAATTCTATAAAGAAAATCATTGCCTACCTAGCATTAAGCATTTTATGTGCTTTTATCAATGAAATTGTGGTTGCGTTTGATCTTTTCTTCATTGTACCTGTTTTACTATCATAATAACTTTCAGGTGCAGCATAAGCAAATGTTACAATAATTGATCGATTCTTTATTAATTTTGAGTGCATTTCTGTCATTGCTTTTAATGCTTCCTAGATTTTTTTTTACACGGCCAATTTTATTATAATGATTTAACAAATCGTAAAAAATTTTTATTTAAAAAAATCAATACCTCTTTTTTACTATACTCTAGGAAACAATAACCTCTTGGTAGACCACGTTTAGGTCCATTTTTATGAAAAAGAAAATCTAAATTTGTTATCTTTCCAAAAGGTTCAAATAATTTAACCAATGCATACCTATATATATTTTAACAAAAAATATATAATATTATTATATAAAAAAAAGATAAACGAATATTATTTGTTGACTTACTCGTCTATTGAAGGATCAAGATTTCCAATGTATAAACGTTTATCGTCAAGCTATAGGATAAAAACAATCAACTTCTGATCTTAGAACTATAAATAATTGATCTAAATTTATTAACCTTTGATGAAATCTTTCCTCCTCCTGTTGACATTTTCAATTAAATTTGTCAATATAGGGAAAATAAAGAGAAAGCTTTTAAGGACAGAAATTAATATTAATATTAACGAATAAATATTTCGATTTTTTAATATTAACATGTGTAACCCATGACTTGCTACACTAAATTGATTAAAATTGAGGTTTTGTGGAAGTGCTGCATATGAACACTTATAATGGATTTTAATTGTAGCAAATAATTCATAATATTATGGGCAGCATTAACATCTTGATCCCAAGGTGTCAGGTAGACCGATTTGTAGATTCTGATAATAAAACCACCAATCATACTGAGCTTTTCAATAGAAATGACCATGTTGTGAAAAAAGTGATTTTGAGTTAATATTATTGCAATATGTAACTTCTCATGTAGAACGTTTTTGGCTTAGAAATTATACCCACTTTGCTTAATAAAATTTTGAGATACATTCACATTTAAAGTTTAAAAACAATAATAGTATTTTAAATTTTCACTTTTCACAAAGCCCCCATGTATTGGACTCAATGTGCATTGCCCTGCTTCACAGGGCTTGTATTGTGTTGTTGATCATCACCAAGTGCAACTACTGTCCTAGGATTACCATTTTAAAGCATAAAAAGCTTTTGTTTATTAATATAGGATTTCCATTGCAAATGACACCAGCAACAACATTCAAGGATTATATCAAGGTATTATCATGCAGCCCACTATGATTTTGATCATGTAACCTGACCTAATATTTTTCACAGTTATGACATAATCTAAGCAATATTGGTCAGTGACATCAGTGACCATCATATTGAATTTTTAATACATACGTGCACATGACATAGTAAATATCATAAAATTAAAAAATTCTTTATATTCTTAGCAATTTATCAATTTAATTAATTTAATTACAATTTGGCAATTTGTATATTTAATGGCAACTACTTATTATTATTAATAGTGATATTAAAACTACAATTATTAAAATTTCCTTTATTGAATATTTGTGCAATGTTTTTCCTTAATACCATTTATTTCTGCTGAAGTGTTGCAATTAATTTTGGCAGGTTTAATATTTATTTGTTGGTCATGTTTAATAGATTCTAAAAAATTGAATTAGCTGAAGATATATGCCATATATATTACAAATACTGTGGTAACAAAATTTACCTTTTAATATCTCTCTTGCTGTATTGAAACTTGTTTGACTACCATGATCAAGATCTTCTGTATTTCCATTATTATTTGTAACTTGTAAATAACAAGAAATTAAATGTTTAATAATTTTATTGTTATTATTATAATCTTTTAAACTATAAATATAAAATATGAAACATGCTTTAGTTTTGTCCATCTTTATAGCAATAATAGAATCTTGGTTTTAATAACACGTTGTAAAAATATTTATTTATTTTAATTATTTTATTTTAACGATTATTTCTTGATTGGTAATGAACAAAAGTGAGTAATATTCACAAATTTTGTTTTTAGTTTTTGAATTAGAGAATTAGAAGAAAGGTTGTAGCAATAATAAAAAAATTAACACGATAATGGCGTTATAGGTTAGTTGATCAATTATCTCCAGTATATGTAAAGAGATATTTAATATTATTAATAAAAATGTTTATACGCATAAATCAACTTATATTTTAAAATTAATTCAAAATGTAATAATGACCATAGTAGTGGTTGATAATTTTGTTAATGTCATATATATATATATATGTATTGTTTGATAATTGTGAATACAAAGAACTGGTAAGAAATAATAAAGTTACAAAAACCATAAAAACATCAAAACTATTACTATTATAATGTTATTATTGATTAAATCGATACAGTATATATATCAAGGAAAAATAAAGAAATTATATATATTAGATATGTATATTGTAAGCTTCGTCATATTATAGGTTTTACCATCCAGGTCTTGTAACACACTCTGGTTTGATAATATGACGAACTCCCATCTTAAAAATTATTGGTGTAAGAGTAGTAATAATAATAATAATAATAATATAAATTTAATTTTTTAATTACTTCAAAATCATGTAAAGTCCATTTTTTGCAAATAACTTGCTAACAACATCACTGTTCATGAAAGTCAGAGTGGCGCAGCGATAGAAATTCTTTAAACCGCGCGCGCCATAATAAAAAAAGCTTTGTTTTTTGCCCCGTAATATGTTCTCTGCAATTGATCGTGTGAAATTATTAAACAATCCCTTTTTTTAGAGAACTATAATAATAGTATAGTCAACTTTTCGAAGAATCTTGTTTTTTCGAGGACTTTACTGCAACAGATTTAAATATAAAACTTTTCGTTTACCAAGAGATTGCTGTTTACGCGGTATTTTGTGATATAATAATAAGTTTTAATTGATAATCCACAGACAGTTCTATTAAATTCAGCAAAGGAGGTTATAAAAAATTGTGATGATATCATGTAATTTATATCCCAAGAAATCGGATTGGGATTTTTTATTGCCATTCACAAAAAGATCAGCAATTGATCTATTTTCGAATTCAAAAAAAAATTGTATAAAATATATATGTATAGATATTTAAAAAATCAAATAAACTATCGCAATGGAAATAAATTACTATTATGTTCTTTTTCAAAATCCAATACTGTTAATATAATTTATTATTACAAATGTTGTTATTCAACACCAGCCACAACAACCACCACAACAACAACGACAGCATTGCAAAATATCAAAAAAAATCATCTAATATTTGATAATAAATCACCTTCTTTTGAAGATTTTTTAAAATCAGCAAAAACATCAGCAGCGACAACAACAACATCATTATCAGAAAGTCTTAATATTCCTTATATACCTAATTTTAATAATAATTATAAAAATTTGGGAAATGATAAAAAGTATTATGTTGAAGTGTATGGATGTCAAATGAATGTTAATGATACTGAAATTTTGATGTCAATTATGGATTCTGCGGGCTATCAAAAAACCTCCATATTACTAGAAGCTGATATAATATTCCTTGTGACGGTAATTACTATTGTTATTATTGTGATGATGAAGGTTATCCCAGATTATCATTAATTTCATTGGATCATTCTTATAGTGTGCAATAAGAGATAAAGCAGAAAATAAAATTTGGCATAGATTAAAATATTTGAAAAGTTTTAAAACAAAAGAAAATTTAAAACCTTTGATTGGTGTATTGGGTGTAAGATATTTACTTATTTATATGCATTTTAATACACAATTAATATCAATATCGACCTATTAATTTATCACTGATTTGTTATATAAATCTATCCCTAGTGTATGGCAGAAAGATTAAAATCAAAACTTTTAGATGCTGATAAATTAGTTGATGTTGTTTGCGGTCCAGATGCTTATCGATCACTTCCACATCTTTTATCACTTTCTTCGCAAACATCCCAAGGAATTGCAAATGTTATGTTATCAGCTGATGAAACTTATGCAGATATAACTCCCGTTAGATTGCATAATGATAGCATTAGTGCAACTTTAAGTATTATGAGGTGACATTTTAATTTTTTTTCTTTAAGCAATATTTTTTTGATTAATTATATATATGCTTATTTAATCTAAATAAATATTTTATAATGTTTTAGGGGTTGTAATAATATGTGTTCATTTTGTATAGTGCCACATACAAGGTTTTTCTAATTATTGACTATTTTTTCATACAAATTTATTTAATTATAATGTTAATTTATAGATTTTTCAAATTTTTATATTTAGAGGTAGAAATCTTTTTTTCGTTTGATTCATATGAATATATATATATATATATTGGGATGACATGATTGACTATATAAGCGATTCATATATTATATAGGAATTGAAAGGAGCAGGCCATTGTTTCCTTCAATAATTGAAGAAGTTAAATTGTTGAGCAGCCAAGGAATTAAAGAAGGTTAGAAAAACAAAAATGGTACTAGTGCTGCTACTGCTACTTCTACTACTATTATTATAAATTTTATTCATTTATTTTTTTATACAATAACTCATGCATAGTCTTATTACTTGGACAAAATGTTAATTCATATCGAGATACAAGTCAATATGAATCTTACCAATCAATCGGCATTGGTAATGAATTAAGTAATAAAGGATTTTCTACTATTTATCGTCGTAAGGAAGGCGGAATAAGGTTTACAGAATTATTAGATAATGTTTCTATTGTTGATCCAGAGGTAATTCATATAATATCATTTTGTGATAAGATTATTTACACGAATATATTTTTAATATATAAATATATAAAATCAATTATTATGAATATGTGTGCAGATGCGTATACGTTTTACCTCACCTCATCCAAAAGATTTTCCAATTGAATTATTGAAACTTATAGCAGAACGACCAAATATTTGTAAACAAATTCATTTACCTGTACAATCAGGAAACACTCAAGTTTTAAAAAGAATGAGGCGTGGTTATTCACGTGAAGCGTAGGTCATTAAATCACTATTAATTAATTAATTATTTATTTATTTATTTGCTAACTTACTTTAATATAATAATAAATAACAACAACGACAATAATAGATATTTGGAATTGTTTAATACCATTTGTGATATAATTCCTAATGTATCAATCAGTACAGATATAATTACTGGATTTTGTGGCGAGACAGAAGAAGAACATAAGGACACACTTAGTTTAATGGAAATTGTAAATCTCATTGTTATATTAGAAATTGTTATTATATTAGAAATTAAAATTTTTATTAACGGTATATATTTATTATTAGGTAAAATATGATATGGCGTACATGTTTGCATATAGGTTTGCAATTTTTATATTAATTAATATGTTATTCTTATTGTTGTTATTTTTATTATTCTTGATTAGTAATTAATTTTACTTTACTTAAAAATAACAATTACAGCATGCGAGAAAAAACACATGCGCATCGTAACTATGTAGATGATGTTCCTAAAGATGTTAAGCAACGTCGTTTATCAGAAATCATTAAAGTGTTTCATCAAAGCGCAAAAATAAAACTTTCTAAACTTATTGATCAACCACAAATTGTATTGGTTGAAGGTCACTCAAAACGAAATCATCAACACTCTAAAAGAACATTGTTAAAAGGTCGCACAGATGGTGGACATAAGATTTATTTTGATGATATTTCTATACCTGATCCTAATAATATTAATATTAATGGTGGCGGTGGTGACGGTGGTAATGGTGGTAATTGTAATGTGACATTAAAAAATGGCGATTATGTGGTTGTAATTCCTAAATCAAATACTAGTTCTAGTTTATTTGGAATTCCTATTGTAAAAGCTTCGATTGGCCAATTTGATTCATTTGTTAAATCTGATGGCTTTAGTATTACCGGTGATTCATTGACAATAAAATCAAATTGCAAATCTATGGCAGAAATCTAATCAATTATATATATCATTGCAAAATATTTTCCGTCGCACCGATCCATAACTACAGCTGTTAAAGGTGTAAGAGAGAAAGAAACTTGTTATGAAATATTAAATTAGAATAGAATAACGATGCTGATAAAATGTCAAAAAACTATGTATAAAAAAAATATAAATCACAAGGCGGGTTCCTGGTATTAAATTGTTATTTTAAATATTAATGATCCACAGAATGAAAATTTTAAAATCCTGGATGTGTGGATTACATGATATTTAGATCTTGCATAATTTTTAAATCTAATAATAATTATATTAAAAAATATTAGGGAAATTGCTTATGTAGGAACAATTATATGACATCCAATATGTTGGTTAATTTACCCCCATAATATGCAGTACATTTTTTAGTACGTCGCAGATCAAACTACTTGATAAACTATTATAGGACCATATTATTAATATTTACGGCATTTTACAGGACCCCTATACAAAGAATATGTTCTAGTAATGAAATATGCAGATTATGGAAGTTTTAAAAATTACATGAAATCAAAGTATACTACTATAGGATGGAGAGATAAATTACAATGCTTCATTAGGTTTAAATGTTCTTCATCGAGAAAGACTTATACATTGTGATCTTCACAATGGTAAAATTTTATATTTTTATAATTTACCCCAGAAGGTAATAATTGCAGATTTAGGATTATCAGGCCCATCTGATCAAGAACCATAAAGTGAAAAGGATGGATATATTTGGAATAAATTAGATTTTCCTTTACTTCAATCATAATTTATTAAAGTAGTTGAGAATCATTTATTGGCTTCTTCAATTAATAACTTGTCCGTTTTAAATAGTAGCGGTAGCGATGGAGACAAAGAAAAAGGGACAATTAGAAAATTATTATGGATTTGTTTTGTATTTTGTTGTGCGTGAATTGAGTTAAAAATTTTCACGTGATTAAATTAACTTTTTGGTGAATCAACAAAAGTTTCAGAGATCACTACATCTTTACCTCTTTTCAAATAAAAATATCAGAGTAGCGCATAGCAACGTAAAATTGCTAAAACTTGTCAGTTGGTAATAAAAAGGGTAAAACTGTACATAGAAATATATTAAAATTGAATTTAATTTGTAAAAAGACATAACAAATTTTCGGGTTTTTTATTTATTTCGTGAATTTATATATATATATATATATATATATATATATATATATATGGAAACACCAAAAAATTTTAACAGCATCTTAAGCTGTTATAATGAAACTTCTGTCTATTATAATCCGCCAAGATTTGCTTTTTTTTTCTTTGAAAAAGGGTCGCAATGATCATTTTTTTATTAAAAGAAATCGTCATTTTGGAACGCTCACATATATAAACATTATCTTTTCAATTTTTGGGAGAAGAAATAAATCAATCGGCCCAATGGACATTTTTTGGTCCCACTAATATTAAAGAAAAAATTAAACATTCAAATTTGGTTAGTAGCACCCCGCTTAAGATGAGACGTGTTTGAACGTAAAGTTCCTTTGGATTGGCTAATTTAATTTTCGGATATGTGAAATGTAAAATTCAATTTCACACACCATATAACACTCATTCATCAATTAATTAACTTGTTTCGTAAAGGATATAACTAATCGTTAGTTTCAAACAATATGTAATTGTCATATTGGGAAAATAATTTATCAATGAATGTAATGTTGCACGAATTTTTATTTTTTTGTGATTAAATTAATTAACAAAAACCAACGATTTTTTAGGGAAATTAATCAATAAGAATTGATTTGTTGACAATATCTTCTTCTATGAAAAATTGTATATATAAATAAGCCCACAAAATTTTTTAAATTTTTTCTTTACAAAACAAAAAAAATACTTATTTTTTAGAGCTGTGCTCGTATCAATCAATTTATAAAAAATCACAATATATTTTTTTTTTTCGAGCTAGTCTCAGTTAAATTACAAAAATTAAATTTTAACTATCATTAATTCATCAATTAATTATTCATTCTTTATTCATTCATTCATTCAAAAAATCAACAATATGAAATTTTCTAAAGTTTTATTTGTGCTTGCTGTCTTGGTAGCTTCAACTAATGCGTTACCAGTTTCTGATAGTAAATTGTTGTCAAAGAGAGCTTTTGATAAAGACCCTGTTGGTGGTGTAAAAGTTCGCAAGATTACCGCAAAAGCCGATGGAACATTTGAAGTCAATGGTGTTACATTTCAAAGTTTAGATAATGCTCACCAAAGACAATGCGATGTTCAGGTAATACAAAACACGATGATCAATTCTTTCGATTCTTTCAATTATTTATTTTTATACTAATTTTTCTTAAAAAAAAACAATTTATATTCTTTAGAAAAATGCCTGTTTTAATAAATTCAACGGTGGCGATAAATCATTTTCAGGACAAGATTGTGAAGATCAACAAAAAGAGTGTACCGCGGGTGACCCTGTTTTTGCGAAAGGTGCTAGTCCAAAAGATCTTGAAAAAAAGAAAAAAAAAGAAAAGCCTACCAATTTTGACACAAACCCTGTTGGTGGTGTAGATGCTCCTAAGATTACTAAAAAAGCCGATGGAACATTTGAAGTCAATGGTAGTACATTTCAAAGTGTAGATAATGCTCACCAAAGACAATGCGATGTTCAGGTAATACAAAACACGATGATCAATTCCTTCGATTCTTTCAATTATTTATTTTTATATTAATTTTTCTTAAAAAAAACAATTTATATTCTCTAGAAAAATCTCTGTTTTAATAAATTCAACGGTGGCGATAAATCATTTTCAGGACAGGATTGTGAAAAACAACAACAAGAGTGTACCAATGGCGACCCTATTTTTGCGTAATGTGCTAAATCAAATTGATATCCATTATTATTATTAATTAAAAAAATCATATCGAAAATGTAATTAAACGTTTAAAGATATTGTAATGGTTTCAAATAGTCCGATATCCTTGAAATTGATTGTATTTTGAAAAAAAAAAAAAGACAAAGTAGATAGTAATAAAATTGCTTTATATTGACAGTGATGAAATTGATTCGAATTGATTCCAAGTATAACTGAACATGAAATCCACCTCATAAAAAAAAAAAAAAATCCAAGCCTCTGCAAACAATACTTTAATACAGTTGAAGATCGAATAAAAGCATAATAAAGAAATATTTATATAAAAATTAATTACATATAAAATGAATCTATCTCGCACCGAAGGATATAAAGTTATACTCAAACTTTCTTTTATCCTTTGTTGTTTAACCTGGACGTATCTAATTAATTTTAAGAATTCCATGCGCTTGAAAAAAGGATAGTAGTTACCTTTTTTTTCTATACCATTTTAACAATGTTTGCACAACATCTACCAAATCCATATAGAAATTAAGATTGAGCTTTGAATTGGCTAATTTTAATTTTCAGATATATATAGATATGTGAATTTTCACACACAATATTAACAACATTCATTCATCAATTAATGAACTTGTTTCGTCAAGAATCTAACTAATCGTTAGTTTCAAACAAAATTTAATCACAACAACACATGTCGTATTGGAGATAATTTACCATGATAAAATGTTTCCACCAATTTTATTTTTGTGCAAGTTGAAATGATTTGGATATGGGCTTTTTTATTTGATATATTGATAATTATACCACTTCAACTTGTAATTAAGGTTACTTACCGAAACCTCTTAATGACTGCCGAAACTCTGCCAATTGTCAAAACCCCCAAATGCCGAAACTCTAATAAAAAATTAGTGTGTCAAAACTGTACCGATTGATTTCCGGAGGAGCTTTGGCAAGCAACCATACTTGTAATGCTATAAAAAAAAAAATGAAACAACTGATTGAAAAGACAAGAAAATAAATAATACCGAATACAATATGTGTATGATGGTAATAATTATTAAAATTTACATTATTTTAGTGTGTATATTTGACATCCAAATTTCAAGTGAAAAAAAAATCAGTTATGATAATTGTGAGTAAGTTATTACCTTATATAATAATAATATCACTATTAAATATGATTTCATTTCTCAAGATATCTAATATCACAATTATAGTAGCCAGATAAAATAATTTAACATGTAATAAAATGACAAGATTTAAATTATTCAAGTAGTCCATCTGGTATAGCCAATTCAATTTGTTTAGAATATTTATCACAAGAGTGGATACTAATAAATATTATAAATTTTAAAAATTAATGAAAAAAAAGAAAATAATCAATGATTAAATGTTAATAATTACCATTATTATTACCAATAATTGTTACTTTATTGGAATTCACAGGTTGGAGAAAGCTTGTAAATTTTAATAATCTGCTAGTATAAATTGCATTTGGATGAATTACTGCAGTAATTATTGAAGGATCAAATTTTATTTTATCCATTTTATAAAAAATTTTCTAATTGATTCTGGTTCAAGATGTCAAATGAATCATTCCAAATTCTAATAATCTTCCAAATTTCTTCAGCAGTTGGACGTTTATCTGGGTTAGCATCCATGCATCTGAATGCTAGTTCAATATAGAGTTTTGGAGTGTTGTTTGAGAATCCTGGTCTTACACCTTCACATATTTTCACTGCAAAGTCTATATATCATGTGCCAAATTATTAAATGGATGTTGGCCAGTTGATACTACAGACATCAGAACTCCAAAACTGTATACATCTGATACCATTGTATATGGTTTTTCCTTTAAAACTTGTGTAATATATGATAGTACTCCAAATATACCATTCTTGATGATGTTTGACTAGCTGGGTATGATAATCCTAAATCTGTAATATATGAATCCCGTTGGTTTCTTTGAAGAATATTACCACTACGAATAATTCCTTTTTCATGAATATCTTTTAATTCGCATTTATCAACCAGGGAGTTTTTTTTATATAGATACATATATGATCGACAGGGCTAAGATAACAAGTAAATTTCTTATTTTTCAAAATGGCGACTACACCAAAAATTTCAAACATACATATTAAAACAAAAAAAATCTATTATTTTATGTGGTGTTATTTCATTATGACTCATTCTCAACAAAGCAGTAAGCCCTTCTTCAATATGGACGTTCACATAGTTTATAAACGAGCACACTTATGTCATAGTGTATGCTAAGAGAGTAGTGTTATTTAGAAAAAATTTATAGAGAAACATGTAAATAAACAAGGAAATTTTGCGAATTAAAACAATTATTGGGAAATTAACCAATCATAAAGTTCATAGAATCGATTTGTTGACAATATCTTTCCAATGAAAAATTATATATATATATAAATGACCTCACGAAATTTTTCAAGTTTTTTCTTTTTAACAAGATAAGAAAAATCTTTTATTTTAGAGCTGTGCTCATATCAATTTATAAAAAATTTCTAAATTTTTTTTTATTTTTCAATTAAATTATAAAACTTACAATATAAATTTTAATTATCATTATTAATTATTCATTCTTTATTAATCCAAAAAATCAAAAATATGATATTTTCTAGTTTTATTTGTGCTTGCTGTCTTGGTAACTTCAACTAAAGCATTACCGGTTTCTCTTGACGATAATAAAGAGATTTTGTCACAAACCTTGTTGGTGATAACACATTTCAAAATCTTGAAGTTCAGGTAGTACTAAAGATGATGATCAATTCTTCAATTATTATTTTAATTCTTTAGAAAAATGGCTATTTTAATAAATTAAATGGCGGCGATAAATCATTTTCAGGACAAGATTGTGAAAACCAGCATAACGTGCTATTATTTATTTATTAATCAAAAAAATCTTAATTAAATATATTTTTAATGTTATCAAATCCTTGTGATAGTAGTATATCGAATAGTCCCATTGATTATATTTTGACAATTCTTAAAAAAAAAAAGGTCATCAAATAATAATAAAATGCTTTATATTGACAGTGATGAAATTGATTCCAAGTAATGGAACGTCAAATCCGCCTCATAAAAAAACTCTTAATTAAACCTTTGCCAATAATACTTTAATGAAGTTGAAGATTGAATAAAAACATAATAAAGAAATATTTATACAAAAATTAATTACATATAAAATAAATCTATCCCCCAAAGGATAGCATGGAGGGATATAAAATCATATCCAAACTTTCCTTTATCCTTTGTTGTTTAACCTGAGCGGATCTAATTAATTTTAAGAATTCGTGAAAGGATAGGCACCTTTCTTCCCTCTTTTTTTTTTCTATGTTTGCACAACATCTACACATATAGGAATCTACATCCCCTTTTCGTACTATATTACGAATTAACGAAGTATTATTATTGTTCCCATCATAAAAATATCATGGAACCAAAACAACTTATAATTGGAGCGGTTGTTTTTCCTGGCTGGTATACTCTTGATTTATGTGGACCTATAAGCCTTATGGGATCAATACAAGGAATAGAACCATTACCAAAAGTTGAAATGTACACAATAACATCGCCTACCCAAACTGATAAATTAGTTAAATCTTTTCAAAACTTTACAGCAAAAGCCGATTTCCATTTTAATGATAAAAATATTCCTGCGTTTAATGTTTTATTAGTACCAGGTACATAAATATATTATTAATAATAAGTAAAAAATTGAATTATCTCAAATTATATATATATATATATATACACATATAGAATTTTAAATAAATTTTTTTTATTAAATAATGAAATAAATCAAAGGATGGTTAAATAACGATACATTGTTAAAAGATCAAGAATATCTGAATTTTTTGAAAACCTGGATTCCAAAAGTTGAATATGTTTTAACTGTTTGTATTGGAAGTGTTTTGGTAGCTGCAACTGGGTTGCTGGATGGAAAGCAAGCAACTACAAATAAACAAGCTATAAAATATCATTGGAATGATTTAGTTATTGGTGCAGGTATTGACAATTATTTATAATATATACTTTATAATATATCATTTGATTAATATTATTTTATGCTTAGGTCCAAATGTTAAATGGTCCAAAGTTGCTCGATGGGTTGTAGATGACAAATTTTATACTGCTTCTGGAGGTTTGTTTGTTTGTTTGTTTGTTTGTTTTATTTATTTATTTTTGGGTAAAAAGAACATACTAACATTAATATAACAAAATTTTTAATTATTTTATATAGTCGCAGCAGGTACTTAAATATATATATTTGCATTTGTATTTTTTAATAATTGTAATAATAATAATAATTAATAAATAATTCATAATTTCAATTTGATAGGAATGGATATGGCCTTGGATTTTATTAGAGAAGTTTATGGTGAAGAAGTAGCAATAGCGACAGCTCAAGCTGCTGAATATGATTGGCATCAAGATCCACATTATGATCCTTTTGCTAAGAAACTGGGACTTTCGAATTCTAAAGATTCAGAATTAGGATATTTTGTTTAAAAACAAATTTTTTTTATCCCAATTGAAATAATTTATATTATAAATGCCTGCAACACCCATAATATCAAATCCTAGTCATATATATATTATATAATTATTTTTTTTCTTTGTAATAAATAAAATGGATCTCTTTTTCTTTTTTTAATGAATGATATGAATAATAATAATAATTGTTACCTAATTTGTACAATTGATGAAATTGTAATTATTGTAATTTACGCGTTTAATTAATCTTCTTGTAATAATTATAACAATAACAACAACAATATATAAAATATATAAATTGTATAAAATCAATCAATTATTTATTCAATTAGCCTTAGAGTTACAAATTTTTGATATTTACTTGGTTCTAAATTATACCTCCCCACAATTGATCTTTACTTGAAGGATATAGTAGCGGGCTTGTGAGATCTTAATTTTTGTTCAGTCCATTCTATATATGCACTCATTATTGG